ACATATGTAAAACAATATTAATGTGTATTATTTTTTGTAGGATTTTGGTTATTTCACTTATAAATTCCAATGTGGCTATGCAAATAGCAACTTTCTTAAGGTCCTTGTTTACAAACTCATAATCATGCCAATCCTCTCCCAATGAGGCCATGAGTGTGCATGCTGATGAGTCTCTCGGGTCCTCAGAATTACATTGAGGGATGAAGGTGGAAAGTGTGTATTTATTTTACTACCTGGAAGTGATCTAGCAAAAAGATATGAGCTGACAACTGCAGCTCTTTGCTTATATTCTGACACACTGGCCTGCTGTATAGTGACCCTTGTTATTTTTTCTGCTATCCCATTTAACAGTATCTCTGTAAGCTCTTTACTGTACCTTCTCTGAGCTCTCTAGCACTCCTTAGAAAAAATTGCTGTAAACATTTCATAGCAGATTTTAAAAGGTCAAATGTAAGTTGTTAGTATCTGTACTGCTTAATTGACTTACAAAAGCAAGGTTTCTGCATGTGGGAATAAAAGGTTGAGTAGGGAAAATCAGTGGGCACAGGTAACTTTATTCACCTTCATTTTGTCTAACTGTTTCTGGACCATATCAATAGTCAGCCATTGTGGTTCATTAGAAGCTGTGGCACTGCTATCCCCATTATGGACTTGAGTTACATCCTGTTCTATGGTGTGCACAGAGCTGAAGAAAGCGTTTAATAGATTTGCCTTATCTTTGTCCCCAGTTACCAAATATGAGTGATCTTGTAAGGGGCCTACATGCTCAGACCTGATTTTTTTAAAACTATATTTAAATTGTTGTTGGTTAATCTCACACTTTCTTGCAATCTGTCCTTTGTTTTGAACCTTTGCAAGCTTTATTTCCTTTTTACATATTTTCTTTGTAGCTGTCAAATGACAACAGTGTTCCTTAATTTTTATATTTTTAAAGGCCCTTTTTTTCTTTTTCTTAATGGTTTTGTTTAACTGCTTGAAGACCAGGTGTTTAGATCCCCTACCTGGCCAGGCCATTTTTCAGTGTTCAGCGCTGCGGTACTTTGACTGACATTTATTCCGTCATGCAACGCTGTACTGAAATGAATTTTATACCATTTTTTGGGGACAGATAGAGTTTTCTTTTGGTGGTATTTAATCACCACTGCGGGTTTTATTTTTTACTATATTCAGGAGAAATTACTGAAAATGTTTAGAAAAAAAAGTTTTTTTTTACATTATGCTATAAAACAACTAATATTACCCACTTTTTTGGTAAAATATAAAAGATGGGGTCACGTCGGGTAAATAGACACCAAACATGTCAAGCGTAAAAATTGCGCGCACTCGCAAAATCGCAAAAAACTAGCATACCCAAAATTGGCCATAGGCGACGCTTTAAAAGCTTTTACCGCTCATCAGTTTAGTGTTATCAGTGATTGATGGCCCTAGAACTATTGCTCTCATTCCGACGTTCGCGGCGATATGTAACATGTGCGGCGTAATGGGTGCAATCGTCGTTTTCGCAGGTATGCGCACCTGACGCATGTTTACATGCGTGTATGTAGGGGTGGGGACTTTTAAAAAAAATTGTTTTTTTTTATTCTTTTTTGTGTAACTTTAAAAAAATTGGGGGGGAAACTTTGAATTTTTGTACTATTTTTTTTTTTCACTTAACTTTATTGCTATCACAGAGGGGGCTGAGAAACCCCCTTATGTGATAGCAAAAGAGGTGACAGGTCCTCTTTATGGAGACATCAGGGGGTCTCCAAGACCCCTAATGACACCTAGGACCCCCCTGAAGAAGCTGATGAAGCAGAGATCTGCTTCATCAGCTTCTCTCCAGCATCTGAAGCTGGAGAGTGACACAAGAATGCGGAAGTGATGTAATATACACCACTTCTGCGCGCCCCAGCGGGCGGATGTAACAGGACATGTATACACGCCCAGTTACATCCAAGAAGCTCCCGGCAGGCCGTGTATACACAGCGGCTGGCCGGGAGGTAGTTAACATTGGATCTGAGCCACATGGGTTTTACTTTTAGCCTTTCAAATGTATTGCTTACTGGAATATATTTTGCCGTATGGCTGCGAACAATTGTTTTGAAACATTCCCATTTTTGTTCTATGTTTTTTGATGAAAATACTCCCTCCCAGATTAAGTCTTCAAGAGCAGCCCTCAGCATGGGCAAATTTGCTCTCCTGAAGTTGTGTTTTTTTCCCTGTATGTGTATGTTGTTTACAACTTAATTTAAATTAATTCATATTATGGTCACTGCTACTCAGATGTTCTTTTATATGACTATTTGTAATAATCTCTGCATTGTTTGAGATTACCAGATCCAGAAGAGCATCATTTCTAGTTGGGGTCTCTACATACTCTACCATAAAATTGTCATGTAATACGTTTATAAATGTGCACCCTTTTACTGTTGTAGCAGTGCCATTATGTCAGGGTAGTCAAAATCTCCCATTAATTCTACTGTCCCCGCCCTTGCAGCCCTTTATCTGTTTAAGGAGCTGAGTCTCTATCTCTTCATTAACACTGGGGGGCCTGTAACAAACTCCAACAATTACCTTTGCATTATACAACTCCACCCATAATTGCCTCAGCACCATCACACTCACCATCAACAAAGTCCTCTTGCACACTCACTTTTAGATCACTTTTCACATAGAGACAAACACCACCACCTTTTTGTTTTAACTGGTCTCTCCGAAAGAGAGCATAGCCAGGAATATTAACAGCCCAATCATGTGAAGAACCAAGCCAAGATTCAGCAATACCAATTATATCATAGTTCTGCTCATGCACCAAAGCTTCCAATTCTCCAATTTTGCTGTGCAGACTTGTGGCATTGGCAAACAAACAATTCAAGCCATTTTTAAATTTTTCACTTGTAATAGCTGTATCTTTTGTTGTAGTACAATTAGTACTATAATCTGCAATGTTAGTTTCCAACATGCAAATCTCCTTATCCATTTTGATTTCTCCCCTGTTCCACCGTCCATTATAGTCTGACCCCTGTTTGACATATCTGCCCCATTATATTCCAGCTCTCCCTCTTCCTCAATCCTAGTTTAAATACTCTCCAACCCTCCCATGACCCTCTCCCCTAGCACCGCAGAACCCCTTCCATTTAGGTGCAGAACATCTTTAGCATATAGGTGATTCCCCAATGAAAAGTCAGCCCAGTGCTCCAGAAACCCAAAGCCTTCCCTCTTACACCAGGTCTTCAGCCATGCGTTTAGCTCTCTAAGCTCCCGCTGTCTTTCCTGTGTTGCGCATGGCACAGGCAATATTCCAGAGAATATTACCTTGGAGGTCCTTCCCTTCAGCTTGCAACCTAGTTCTTTACATTTATTTCTCTCCCCTTCATTGAAGGACACAGGCAACAGATCGTAGATCCTGAATTGTAGGGTAATATCGCCACCTGCAGGAGAAGGACGCTAGGCACAAAACTAAAGACCAATTACAGCCTAGGGGCGGCCCCTGCCGGTGGTCAAACCCCCCACCTGCTGACAAGTCTCCAGTTTTTTGCCTAGCGTCAGGAGTAAGGAGCTTAAAAAAGTTTATCTGAATAATTTTTTCCCTTTCTTCCGTTTGCCTTGATTTTCTTTTAGCAAGTGTCCCCAGGGCGACAGGCTGGATGACTGTAGATCCTTGTAGTCTCCCCTGGGTGACCGACGAGCGCATGCAGACTCTGCTACGGTGGGTCGGCTGCGAGAAGTGGTCCTCCCCGACGCCTCATGGGATTCGTCCTGTGAGAGGGACCTTTGACCGGGGGCTCCAGCCCACCGGTCGCGGCTCTCCCCGCAGGCTGGCGACGCCGCAGCTGCGGTCGGGGGCGTTCTCCTGCCGGTGCCCTGCTGGTCCTGGACGGTTTCCGGTCTTCCCTCGTGTGGGTTTGTATGTGGGGTCTCCGGTGGATGTTCGTAGGACCATGGTCCCTGTACTCTGTCTCGGGCGGTCTCATGCGTCCGGTCTTGGCTTCGGCCTTGGTCTCTCAGACTCTAACTGAGTGTGCTAAAATGTTACATCAGGGTCTTGCGAAGGAGAACGTCTCCCCCGCCTTTGTTGAGTTGGCGGACTCCTTCGTTATGTCTGTAATTCGGCCTTGGATGCGGCGCCCTTGGTGTCCAGGGTGTCGGTGTCAGTGGTGACGCTTCGCCGTTTGCTCTGGCTTAAGTGCTGGTCGGCGGAACAGGCTTCCAAGAAGGCTCTTCAAGAGTTGCCCTTTACTGGGGACCGTCTGTTTGGTTTCACCTTGGATGAGATCAGTAAGGATCTGACGGGGGGTAAGAGTACCTTCCTTCCCCAGGCGCGCAAGAAGGAACAGTGCCGGAAGCCTGGGCCTACCTTCTCCGCTCACAAGCGGCTTTTTCGCCCCCCCCGCCCTCCGACAAGGGCGGTAAGTTTAATGAATCCTCCTCTTCCCAATCCTCCAAGCGTCCGTGGCAGCCCAAGTCTGCCAAGCCCACTGGGAAGCCCCAGTCCGCATGAAGGTCGGGCCCCGTCTCCGGGTCCCGGGGTGGGGGGCCGCCTTCGGCTCTTTGCGGATTTTTGGCTGGCCCACGTCTCCGACTCTTGGGTCCGGGAGCTGGTTTTCTTCAGGCTACAAGATCGAGTTTCTGTCCCGTCCGGGCAACCGTTTCTTCCCGTCCAACATGCGGATGTCCCCTTCGCGGTTGGCGGATCTCCATCGCGCGGTGGCGGACCTTTGGTCCCAGGGGGTGATTGTGCCTGTTCCCTCC